CTTTATTGTTGCGGGGAATCCACTAAGAATGAGCAAATAAAGAAGCATCTCACACTTGTGAACTGTGAGTGAACAACATTTCACAATAAATAAGCAAAGAGTAGAGTAAAAATCTGAAAAAATAAATATAAACGTGTGTAGCAGGACAACATTTTTTCTTTTTTCCTGCCATATTTATTATATTGTGACCCCTCTCTCACCCTCTCTCACGAACGACTGCTAAAATCATTTTTTTAAACAATTATTTGCATAGTGAATTTTATTTTACATTACAAAGACTTAAACGTAAAATCGGGATATTCTTGTTGAAATTAACTTGGTAAAGTGCACAGACACATGAACAAATGAGTTCAAAAGATAAAGGCTTGAAGGAAAAAAACAAAAGAAACTGAAAAATGTCTCTAAAATATCTAAAAAATGTTTGTTGAATGATGTGGCTGATAGTTCACAGTGAATGAATAAAGTTGCAAGTCACTTCTGTGGGCTAATGAGTCATAGCCCAAGATTTCCTGATCGTACCGAGTATATGAAGTACGAGTTTGTGGTTATCTAATGAACTTCTTCCTTTGAAGTTACATTGTGAGTCTTTGGTATTTGAGTTTCAGAACGACCCCTTTGGTTAACTTTAACCTTTATATCTGTTTTACAATTTAATTGTTGAAATGTTTAAGGGTAGAGCAATGATTTTATTTCTTTATTATCCCATAAACACTGTGCACTCCACCTCTTTAAATAAATGTATGTAACTTGTTGGCACTCATTTACATGTTCTTTATCCTAAAGTGAGATTTCAGATATTTAGATTAGAAATGATTCAAATGCTTGTTTGTATGCTTATTTAAGGTATTAAAACATTTTAGTTTAAGTTCTTAAATTGTGTGTTTTATTGTGTCTCACTCCTGCGACTACATCTCATGTCCACAAGATGTCACTCTACAATATTGTATCATCATTCATCATTAGTACTGAAGGATTTAAATACAGGGGGGCAGAGTTTCTACTGTTACAACTGAGAAATACTTCAACTTTGCTTCCGTCCCAGTCACCATCAGAGGAGACTGAAATGTTGACAGGATGAATAAAAAGTCATTATCATTTAGTTATTAGTCACTGTGAAGATTAAGATTGTGTACGCAAAACATGATGCCATATTACAGATTAAACTCCCCATCAGTAAAAGCAGCTTCACTTTCACCAGCTATAACATTAGAATTATGCTTTATGTTTCAATAATGATAATCCAATAATCAGTGGCTGCTCCAGGATTTTTAAAATATGGTGGACACGGCAGGGGTTGTTATTTTGCGTTCCCTGTGCTCCATAGAGAAACACTGAGCTGTATTATTATATAGTATATATTGTGTAGTATATATAGACCTCCACTGGTTCTGACCACCCTCACCCTCGGCTGTGGCAGGCTCAGGTGCAGCTGGACAGATAACCTCTCACTGACTGCTGCAGAGGCCGACTGAGACTGGTTGTAGCTGTGATTATGAGTACAACCAAACAATGACATAACTGTGGCCGGTGCTGTCGCTGCAGACATAGCCGTGCTTCGGTTGTTATGATTGTTATGATGGCTGTGACACAGAAGTTTTTTAAGGGTTGTAACAGTAACAACATGGAGGGGATGTTTGTGTGCAGTGTACTGACATTGTTGTGCTGGCTGAGAGTTGTATTTGGAGCTACATTCTGACATAAACACCGTGGGTTCAAATCCCATGTGTTTAACGATGCATTCTAGGTTAATGTTAAAAGGAGAAGTAGACACAGCACAGCTACCATATCCACAACCACAGCTTCAAGTACCTCATAAAAATAATTCCCACAGTGAAAAAGGCTGCATGAATGGTTGGCACATGTAAACTGTATTTGATTTTATTATTTTATTTGCAAAGAACCAAATTGTGCTGGTGAGATTTAGAAAATAAGACAAAAAACACAAAAGTAAACAAGTGTGAACCGTTTGTTATATAATATATTGTGTTATCATTATAATATATATATATATATAACTATATAATAATAATAAAATTGTACTTTTGTCAAAAAACACTTTACTGTTAATTTATTTATTTCACTTCACTATTTTTTTTAACCTTGTTTTATTACTACTACCTTTACTTAAGTAAATAGTGTGACTACTTCTTCCACCACTGCTCTATTGTATATGGACCAAACTATGGATGATTTCTTTTCATAGATTTAACACAAAATGTGTTCTGTGAACTGCTTTTAAAAGATTTTACTATCAAAATATATGACAAGCTTATAAAACATACATCGTAAAAGATTAAACTTTTTACATGGTAATGAATCACTGATAATAATCCTTTAATATGATGAATAGATAACCCCCTAAATATACGTTTTATAACTTATCTTAATGTATAAAACTTAACATAAAGACAAATATATATATAAAGAGCTGATATAGCTGAAGGTCCACAGCCAATCAGGGTCATGAGCATCAGTAAAACAGAACTGTGAAATTGTTTGGTCGATTTATAATTCGTACCTTTTCTTTGTCTTGGTCCTGTATCATGTGTGAGATTACAAAGTAAACATGAGAGTTTCTGTTTTGTAACCAGGTTTACAGGAAAACACGAGGTGCTTTACTTACTTATCCTACCATCTATAATAAAAGGAAGCAATGCCACTTCAAATATTGACCGTATCTGTGAGGCTATCTGTTTTGTTTGTTGACAGAATATTCTTTTTGGGAGAAAGCCAGAGATGATATTACGACTGTACTCTCTGACACAGTGGGGGTTTTGTGTTAATGTTGATGCCATTTGTGCATCAAGTGTGTTGTCAAACTCTGTGTTGCAGACAGCGGAGGAGGAAATACAATATAAAACTATTCCTGCATTCAAAATCCCACTTCAGTAAAAGTACATTAGTTTTTTTTATTTTTAGTACATTAGTAGTTTTCTTCCCGTCTGCAGCCGGCCTCATTAACAAGGCCCAGAACCCCCACTGTCACTTAAACCCACCCTGTAGCTTGGGATCAATAAATAAAATCTATCTATCTATCTATCTATCTATCTCTCCTATCTATCTATCTAATCTATCTATCTATCTATCTACTTTGGTTGGTTCTTCTATCTTGCACATTGTAAAAATCATTCTTGTAAAGCTTAGATCTTTTTATCCTTATGTTTATCTTTATTTAGCTTTATTTATATTTAAAACCAATGCGCCAAGACAGATTCCTTGTATGTGTAAAAACTTACTTGGCAATAAACCCGATTCTGATTCTGATTCATATCAAAAGTAAAAATATTCGTTCGACAGAAGAAACAGATTGATAATATTCTTGGCTAGTCGAAGAAGCTGTTTTTTTACTGCTTTATATAGAGTAAGATCCAGTGGTTGATTACCTTTAAAGCATCATAAGATAAATATGAAAGGCAATGAGATGATTACACTGTATCATTAATTATTATTTTATGCTATTTTTGAAATATTCCCCACAAGTGTGGAGAAGAAATGTCAAATTACAGTACAGTAGTTTCTGCTTGCTGACAGATGTTTTTAATATTCCCAGAGCTGTTGAAAGTCCTGTAGGAGACTGTAAAGATCAACAGAGACAGGGAGGATGTATCAGGACCCACAGGGTGCAGTGTGGATGTGCTGCTCTCTGACAGGAGATGGGCGTTGCCCGTCCAACCAAATGTCAGCCGCTTTCGCCGACACGCCTCCGAAAGGAAGACTCCCTCTCAAGCAAACTTGGGAAGTTAACCATCCAATGAAGACCCGCCCAAATTCGCCCACAAGCTCTGCTCTGATTCGCTCCGCCCAGCCTGTCAATCAATCATATCCCAAGCGACGTCAGCAGCAGCGCCACACCGGGCTGAGGAGGAGTGGGTGACGAAGAGCAATCACCACCACCAGGAAAAAAAAAAATACCAGGAGCGATAAAATGCCCGGACTACAAGGGTCCATTTGACTGTCAGTTGAGACGTTTTTCGCATTTCGAGGGGTTTTATTTTTTGGTTCCTGTTGAGGTCTTTGTGGAGAACACTAGCTGAACACAATGAAGGGTTTCTGTCAGGCCGAGCTTTCTGCTTTTTAACCACTTGGCTGCAGTTCCAGGGATGGCTAGCTGAGCTAACCTAGCGAGCTAACAATTAGCCTGCCCATTTAGCTCCGCTGGTCACTGGACGCCGCGGTCCGCACACAGGGTACACTGCCTGTGAGCGCACTTGTAAAAGCCGTGTGGTTTTAACTCGGATTGTGACTCGGGTTGTGGTTCGTCGAGTGGTTGAGGCGGTGGGCTGTAGCCTGGGTGTTTGCTCAGTAGATGGACAGTTTTGACGGGCGCTCATTGTCACTGCGCGGGCGTACAAGCGTCGGTTTCGGGGCGGCTAGGCTCGTACTCGGCCGGGCGACCAGCGGAGGGATTGGACAAATGTGGCAGCGGCAGCCAGCGGTGTCCCACTGTCTTCGGGAAGACAGAAGTTAGTCTGGATATAAAAACCGGATTTTAATGAGTGGTAGGCCCACCAGCTACGCGGGAAACGGGATTAGAAAGTGTTGCGCTCACTGAAAATCCACCAAATTTAGCTTTGTTATAACGTTAGCAGCACTTAGCTTACAGGCTAGTCAGCGAGTTATCGTTAACCCAAAACTAATTCCAGCTTCTTTTGGGAAGTGCATGAAATAAAATGGTTGTTTGCACCGTCGGTAATCATCTAAGATGTTTGCGGACATGTTGCACCGCACGTTGTCTGTGATCAGCTGTCAGTGCCTGTAGCCTGAGGATTTACACAAGACTTTTGACTAAGCTGTCAAATATTTGACACTTGACAGCAGTTTTACCATCAGCTAGGAGGGCCAGATCCCCCTGCACCGAGCAGCAAGCCCATCCATTACCGGCGTCTGGACATATCACTTACTGTTTCTCAGAGAAAGAGGGGGTTTCATTTGTTTCACATTTGGTGTGAGGTTGCAAGCCCGGCGCCCCTTGTCAGACGGGCTTTTCAGCTCATGCGGTGATGACTTTAGACTCCATGATGGCTTGTTGCCTGAGTGAGGAGGCGAAGGAGTCCAAACGAATCAACTCTGAGATCGAGAAACAACTCCGACGAGACAAGAGAGACGCAAGAAGGGAGCTGAAGCTTCTTCTGCTGGGTAAGACAGACTGCCTCACACTGGGCATTGGCTGCACACTTGTACCTGTGCGTCTGCTGCACACACACACACACACCACACCACACACACACACACATAATCCAGATGGTGCCTGTGTAAGTGATTGATTTGACTGCATCGTAAAAGGGTTTTGCATGCAAAACACTGCACCCACAGTTGTACAAGCTCCAATTGCCCTGGCCGCCACAGCATTTGTCTGTGATGTGATATGCAAATCACAGTTCAGATGTGGTGTTTCTAACGGGAGCTAGTAGTGGGAGAGCCAGGGATTTAAGTACACACACACATTTATATGAAATTAAAGCCAACGTGATGTCTGTACTGCTTGTTCAAAGCTACCATCTTGGGTCACAGAAGTTCACAATTCCTCAGCGTATGATTAGATCTCAGCCTGCGATGCCGTTTGCTTTCATTTTGCTTCTGCTTTACCTTTAAGGCTAATGTAGAAGCTCTTTAACGCTGACCGTCAAGTTGATGACAAGTTTATAAACGGGACAAGTGGGACAGCCACTCACAAGATAACAGAGGCTGGAGATTGGCTTCACTACCCGAGGACTCTCTTTTACTAGCATGTGTTGATTTCAGGTTTAATTTTCTCCATAGTGCCTTTTCTACAACCCACATACACAAGTAAATGTTTTTAATATACAGAAAAGACACAACTGCTTTAGAATGGGTTGTAACATTTGTAGTCTCTTGCTTTAAATGATAGAAATCTACATTTTAAGTAATATGTGCTTCTTAGTATGACTTTACTTTACATTATATTGGTTATCAAGCATGAGTTTGGCCAAGCAAAGCTTTTCACCAGCAGCTGTCCACAGTCCTCTGTTAATAATCCCCTTCCTGTAGTCGTCTTCCACATTACCGTAGTTTTATCTGCCTGTAAAACATGGTTTAAATAATGAAAAAGAGTTGGTTTTTAATTAAGTCTGCTACAAGGGAGACAGCATTCTCTTGGTGTCTGGTCTAGAAAGGGCCTTCGCTGTGGTGGCCCTCCCTGGGAAATAACTGTTCTCCAGAGAATAGGCCGTGCCATCCGCGGACTCATTTTCATGTTTAAAGAAGAGCAGCAGAGCCATTGTGCTTTTGTATTTAACATAATTGACGGAGGAAGCTGTTCTTTTGTTTATTCCACACTACAGGGAGGTCCAAGTTTTCTGGAAGTAGCAGGGATTCAGTGTCATGCTATCAGGGACACAACCCCCTGCTTTTGTCACATGTGGCTGCATTCACACTTTATGGTTTTAAAGATGCCGTCACTCAAAGGAATCGCAGCTTGTAAGAACAGTGTGTTTTTATGATATGTTGTATCGCTGTCACCACCTCAGGGAAGCTGTACTTATTTAATGATGAAAGAATAATCAGTTTGTTAACATAGGAGACCATAGCCATAATAGATTTTCATAAAGATCCGTTAAGAAACCTTCTATCCACAAAAAAAAACCCATGTTAAATGGATGCCAGGACAGGGCAAATATCTCCATAACTGGTGTTTAAACCTTTAACGTTAAAACACTTAGCTATTTCACGCGGATTGGATCGTTCAGGAGGTAGTTTGAGCAACCTAGCCAGATGTTGTAAAGGTGTAAATCCGTCCGTGTCTCCAGGAGGCATACGTACTCTTTACTCCGTTTGAACTTTAACTGCATCAGTAAGTGGTATGTGGAAGCTGAAGTGAAACAGAAATGCACTGAAATTCTCTCATTAAAGCGTCAGGAATAAAGTAGCTCCAGCGATTTCCAACCGTATAGTAACACAGAATGTACCACGAGCTGTTACAGGATTAATGTGATTCCTGGTCAGCAGAGTACGATCTGTGTAGGTGGGAGAGCATCGATCTGTACGGGTGAGGAAGAAGGGACGAGAGCCTGTGAGGACGAGCTCACAAAACTGTTCAAACTTGTTATTAGAAGTGAAAAGTGAGCTGTGTAGGGTTTTTTTTTTTTTTTTTCTTTGTAACATGTCTCTAACTCTCTGTTTTAGGGTCCAAAGTTAACGTTTTGGCTAATATGCCATTGGCAGGTAAAGTGAGAGAATTTACGAGCCAAAGAATATTTTTTTACCGGCCATAAAACTGCATCATACATTATCTGACTAAATATAATCACCAATCTTAAGCTCCAACCTCCATGCCTGGTCTTTCTCTTTGGCCTCATGTTTTCTGTTTAACACCGGCAATAAGTCACCAGATCTCCTAATAACATGTAACGCAGATGTTTCTTAGGGCAAAAAAACAAAACAAACAACGCAGACATTAGTTGTGTAGAAAGCAACAATAGTAGTAAGCTGATTTTAGTCACGTTGGGTACGGTGGGCAGTGAGGGTCACATCAGTCTACAACATTGGTACACAAAAAGCACAACAATGTAAAGCTGGCCCACCTAGCTGGTGACCCCCAGTGTATTCTCCTTACGGGTCAAGTTCGAGATACCACTTATCGTATTTGGCTGCTGAACAAGTCAGAGTAGGTTATGAATGTTGCTAGCCACAAATTGCTATGTCACCAAGACCTCAATTAGTTATTGTCAGCATGTGTATAATAATTCAGTAATATCTACACTAAGCTACTTAACTGATATGAAATAAGAGACATCAAACAACTGCAATCTGTTGATATTTTGGTGCGATATGACGTCTGAATGTTACATGATATCGATGCACTTCTCTACTTGTAAAATGGCCTTTTGCTTGTGAGTTCATGGTTGGCAACACACAAAAGGCATCTGTTGG